ACACACACACACACAGAACTCAGCCTCAGGAACCAGATATTCAGGACCAGGCTCCACTGGTGCCTCCTGACTCACCTAATGTTTACCACATGCTATTTGTAACATCCGTGAGAGAATAGGGCGGCATAACTCCTGTCTCCGGCTCACACTGACTGAGCTGTCATGATGAAGTGGGTGTCGGGCAGGGGACTAGGTACGCAAAGATGAACAAAACTGAGGGGACCCCTACCCTTCCTGCCCAATAAGGGAGAAACAAAAAGCCAAAAAAATAAACAAAACAGGTTAAAAAATCATAATTATACATTGTGGTAAATGTGTCCATTTCCGGAAGCATGGCAGACCAAATATTGGGAAATACACTCCACTCCTCATACCATAATAATTCTGGGGAAAAAAATTTTTGAAAACTGGAAAAATGTGTAACTGTTCAAGCCAGAAAACCAGGAAAATTCTTCTCAGAATGCAGAACAGCCACCAGGTGGATAATAGGAAAGGGTCGTGGAGGACAGCGTGAGGCCGTCTGAAAAACACCTCACACGGATTCCAGGAGGATGTGCAGGAAAGGTGACTTTTGAAGAGCTATAGACCCAATCTTATTGGTTGTGTTTCTCTGGAGAACACTAACACACCCCCATTTCTGTGACTGGTCCCCGTGACTGACCTCCCAGCTCCCTAGACTCCTCAGAGCTCGGTCGGCCCCATCTCCATCCTCCCAGGGCCCTAAGCCAGCCATAAGCTCCCCGAAGACGGGGCCAGGCTTTCGTGCTTCACCAGGGCACCCCCGAGCAAGCCCAGGGCCTGGAACGTGGCAGCCCTCAGTAAATATTTGTCTGACGAATGCACGGATGCATTTTCAAGTGAGTTAATTTGAAGAACTTCTCCTATGGCAGTGCCTGCACCTGAAACTCTCTTCCCCTTTCTCTGTTTATCAAAATGCCTGCTGTCCTCAAGGCCTCCAGCACAGACTTTCCTCCTCACTCGCTCTGCAGGGACCTCTTTTGCCTTATTCACGGCTGGGACACTCGTCCCAACCTAGGGCCTCAGCCCATAATATTTTCTCAATAAATATTTGTTAGATCCATGCAGAATAAATGCCTATGAAGGGTCACATATTTAAAATATTAGCCTATATTTTCCCCTAGGATGTCCTTCCTTCCTGAGCTCTTTCTTTTTCAGACAGCCAGGCATTTCTGTGCCCAGCCCTCAGAAGAGGAGGCAACAACTGCCTGGGTTTGCCGACTCAAAAGCTCAGGCCCTGGGAGGACCAGAAAGAACACACAGAAAGGGCACAAGATTTAGAGGGAATCATCAGGCATCCCTGCTTCTCAGGCTGGAAAACCATTTTCTGAACCATCGGAAGGAAAGGAGTTGAAAAGGAAACAATAAGAAGACAGCAGTTGTTGGCGGTTTCCAGAGAAAGTGGTTCTGTCTCGGCTGGAGGCCACTGCTAGCTCACAGAGCACCTTTGTGTGAATGAGGAAAAGGCATCCCTTTCTGGGCAGACAGCTTGGCAACTGGAGCAGAGCCTGGCTCCAGCCTTATTAGCCTCTTCTCTCCTCCCACCAGGCACCCATGTGCAGTGTACACCCCACACAACCGTACAGGTCAGCCAAGCACAGGCCCTGCTAATCCTGCAGGAGGTGGTGAAAGCACAGACAGGCCCATGGGGTCTGCATACAGAGAAAACCTGTGTCTCATGTCCCAGGTGGAGCCTGCATGGGGCAGGGGGTAGGGGTTGGTCCTTGGGAAAATGTGGGGCCAGGCAGAAGGAGCCTTGGGCAGCCTCAGAGTTTCCCTAAGTACCTGATGGGGACAACAACTGAAGACCAAGTGGGTGGCAACATCCCTGAGGACACTACTGGGGACAGCAATGACCAGATTGCCACCTCTCTGCCCATACACCTCACAACCTGGCACATCTGAGCTTCTTGGAATGAATTAGTCAAAACCCCAGGGACATTTGGATCGGGGAAGAACTCTGACGAAGACTAGGTATCTGCCACCCAGCCACAAGGACGGTTCTAAACAAAAACTCAGTTGAATTATAGAAGAAAAGCAGTTGCCTTTTGTGCACATCAAAGATATAAACCGAGTTTTTCTTTTCCTTACCTGCTGAGCTCAACAAATATTTTTGAATGAAGATCAAACATGTAGCAAATGCACAGCTCTTCTCTGCTACCCTGATTTTATCCTGCCCTGACTTAATTTTCAGAGCACATTGTCCCTCTGACTAGATTGTCAATTGCTTGAGGGCAGGGACCTGATTATTCCATTTTAAATCCTGTGCACATATCCTGTACACAAGTGCCCTTTGCCTGGGTGTTCAGTTGAGTTACTATATAAATGCATGGAATTTTTCTCCAGGCTCCAAGATCAAAAAACTCCACTCCCCTTGTCCCCCCCCCCCCGCTCCTCTCCCAACTTCTTAGATGGCAGAAGAATTCCCAAAGCCTGGAGCAGAAGGGGAGGAGGTAGACTTTAATGCTGTTCTCTGATGCTGCCGCTCAGCCCAATAAATGAGCCTGTTAGGATTTGAGACGTGTCTATTTCTGAAGATGGACTCGGTCCTGTTCAGTGGCCGTGAACCTTGGCGTAGTCTGAGGTTTGGAGCAAGGAGATCAGCTCATTACAGGATTCTGGCCATTCGAGGGCAGAGGGCACTAGGTTGCCGGTCCTGGGAGCCCCTGGAAATGGATGGGGCCAAGGACTTGGGGCTTCTCACAGATGGTGTCTTGGGTGCTCTTCAAGCCCCTGTCAGCTTGGGCACCCGCCCTGACCCAGACTGCCAGACCCCTTCCTGCAGCCTCTGCTCCAGCCTGCTGCCTGGCTACCGCGGTCACATGCCAATGTTTTATTCTGGGTCCCTGCAGTAAGACCTAACACATTCCACCCATGTGCCTGGCCTTTGTAGGTAGGGATTGTGTCTCTTGGCCTGTGTTTGTAAGTTATTCCCCGCACGTCTGTCCCATCTCTCTGGCCAGAAAGTCAGCGCCTGCCACTGGCTGGCCGCCTAGCTGTCTCCCTCGCTGGAGTCCCCACTGGCTTCCAGGTTGTCACTGTTTAAACACAGCTCTGCCACTGACTAGCCAGTGTCCTTGAGTGTATTGCCTAAGTTGTGGTGACCACACTGAGCATCGTCCCCTGACTCTACATCCTCTCTGGGCTCCCACAGCCCCAAGCTCCGGGCACTGACCGCCGGCCCACGTCCCCCACTGGGCGAGGCTCTCCTCTTCATCTCCCCGCACCCAGCACTGCCCCTGCCACTGAGTGGTGGCTCTTGCTCCTGCCCTGCCTTCCTCCTGCTCCCTCTCCTCCCTCCCCTCCTCCTCCCCACAAGGCTCTCTGGACACACAGACCCATCAGTGCCATTTCTCCCTCGGAGCCCCCTTCCCTTGCTCTAGGAAATGAAAAACACCAGGCAGAGATTGTGAGGTGCTCAGTCTTTTATTAAAACCAGGTGGATCACTCCATCCCTTGAGAAGGCACACTTATGTTCCCTGGGACTGGGTGTGGCTGTGCCGCCCCAGCCCCACCCAGACCTCCTTCTCAGTGCACAGGGAACTTCTGCTGTCTTTAAGGGCGAGGTGATGGAGCCCAAAACAACTACGGCCCGAGTTTGGATTTACAGCTTGGGTTGGGGGTTCAAGGTGAGGGTGAGGCTGTGGGTCGGTTTGGAGGTTGGAAGGAATTGGGTTGGGGTTTAGGTGAGAGGAGAGTTAAGTCTGACCCAACTCTGCCGGCCGCAGTGAGCAGAGCCCTGCTTCTCCTGGCTCCCAAGGGGATGACTCTTCACAGGAAGCCGGGTCCCCAGGCATGTGAAATCACCTGAACACCGCCCCCCACCCAGGCCCCTCTTCCTCTCCCCCCTCCACCTCTCATACACAAAGCACACACTCAGAAGCAAACGCTATGGCTACAGGAGATCCAGTCCCCACCCTCCCCGGAGCCCTGGCCTGGGTGGGTGGGGTGAGGGGCGCTTGGGGGCTTAGCCCTGGAATCCCAGCTCCTTGTACTTGGCGGCCATGTCATTCCGGAAGAGTTCCAGGGCCTTGTTCATGGCTGCCTGGGCATCAGCTCCGAAGTCCCCGGGATGCTTGCTCTGCAGAACGTGGATGATGGCGTCCGAGATGAACTGCAGGGACAGGGACAGGAGGATGCTGGTCAGTGGGGCAGACAAACCAGGGGCCAGGTGGGAATCAGATCAAACCCCAGCTCCTCTACATCCCACGGCTGTTTCCTGAGCACTTACTAACTGCCAGGTGCACTTCTGTGCAGTCTCCATGGATTAACTCCTGTAACCCCCACAACCCTGTGAGACAGATGGGGAAAGCGAGGACCGTCTTGGGACAGACGAGGAAAGGTTAGGCCGTGTGCCCACGGCCATGTGGCCGGATGGGCTGGCTCATCTGCAACCCTCCTCAGCTGTGCTCTGGATGAGGACTCGACGGCAGCCAGGCATGGCCCCGCCACCATGGGGGCAGCCGCAAGGGAGCGAAATGTTCCTATCCCATGGTTTTATCCAGGATTTTACAATCAGAGAATCTAGAAAGAAACTATTTCCATTTGCATGCATTTAATTTTTGCATGTAATGGCTGAATATGGCGATTGCTTTAAACAGCCTGTTTGGGGGTGAGTAGGGGGCAGAACATTGTATTTTCTGTGCCAAGCAGAGAGCCGGTGCTCAGAAGTATTGGTGGGAGGGAAGGAGAGAGAGGAAGAGGAAAGGGAGCAGGCTGGCGGCTCGGCCCCGGGACCAACACCGTCACCATTTGCTCTGCCATCCACAAGGTCCTTACCAGGAAATGGAGACAGGCATCTCTACAGCATTGGGCTGTGAGTGTGTGTGTGTGTTTGTGTGTGTGTGTAAGAAACCACTGCACTTTTTCAGTGGTTTGTCAAGGTTTGATGCCAAGCACAACACCGGTCCATGGACCAAAGGGTGTCATTTTACTGAGGCCCAGATGGGGAAGGAGCCAGACTGAGGTCACGTAGCAAGTGGATGGCAGAGCTGGAATCTGCACCCAGGGGATCATGGACAAATGATGGCCAGAGCCAGGGACAGAAGCAGAGACGGCACCGCAGCTGAATTTGCCCATTTTCTCGGGCACCTGGGATGCAAGTGGCCAAAAGCAGGGCGGGAGGGGGAACACATGCTGAGGGCGGCCTCAGACGCACAAATCTCAACACCCAGTAAACCCTGCTTGGCTCAGAAACAGAGACAGCTCCACAAACGCCCACCGCTGGGCATTGATTTGGACATATGTTTATGTTCCCCTTTAATGTCATAAAGGCAACAAAACCTAGTGGGGGATGGGCTGACTTCAGGAAGCTTTGCTCAGGGATAACTTGAAGACCCAAGTTCCAGGCCCAGCTTCACCCTGACCTCCATGTAAAATGGGGGGCTCCTGAACCCATTGGGTCCCCCCACTCAGCCTTTCCTAAGTCAATGGCAGAGCCGCTAAGACTTCGCAAATTGTGGGCTGGGGCTGCTGGAAGATGGGAAAAGATGGTTGCCCTTAGCATGCAGCACGCTCTGTGGTCCCCTCACTTACAGGTGAGAAGGAGCAATTTCTTATGAAAGGCATGAATGAAGCTTCCATGGTGTGGGAAAGAGCAGACTGGGGATCCATCTTAATTATTTTGCAGGGTTCTAGTCTGCTAGTCGGTAGTGCTACCTTGAAGGCATCATTTTCTCTCTGAGCCGGAGGGAGGGGATCAGTCATTCAAGTTGTGCTGTAAGCCCCTCACTGAGGTTCACAGATAGGAGAGAGCCAGGCTCTGCCCTTGAGAAGCGTGTGTCCCGGCCAGGAGACAGCTGGGTAAAGGGTTACATTACAATACAGCCGGGCAGGCGCCATGGCCAGGATGAGGACTAATGCCTTTGTGGGGGAGGGCGGGCAGACGGAGCAGCTGACTGCCTTGTGGGCCAGAGCAGAGGAGATGGCTTCTGAGCTGGGCCTTGGAGGAGAAACAGGGATTTGCCAAGAGAAATAGGGAAGCCAGGGACCATCACTCATGCAGAATCTCAGAGGCAGGACCGGCTCCTCCTGTCTGTGTTGCTGAGCGGGACAGGCTGGCAGGACTGTTTGTGTGTGATTTGGGGGCTGCTACATAGGGCTGCAGGGGGAAGAGGCTGAAGAGGATGGTGGTGGTTGTTCACGGGAGATATTATGTCACAAGGGACTAAAAGCTTGGGTTCCAGAGTACCACAGATCAGATTGTACTTCCTGGTGTATTAGCTGTGTGACCTTGGGCAAGCTACTTAACCTCTCTGAGTCCTGAGTTTCCAAATCAGAAAAATGGGGATGAGAAGTCTACCTGCCTAGGGCAGAGACTTTTAATTGCCTGCCTAATGTCCACTTTTTCTTTCTTCCTTGTAACGGAACACTGATTGGGTTTAGAGTGTCAATAGACTTCATTTCCCAGCTTTCCACGCAGATACGTGAGGTTTCTAACTTCTGGCCAATGAGATGTAAACAAAATTGTTCGATGAGATCTCCTTAAAAGAGAGCCTTCCTCTTTTCCTCCTGCTTGCTGTTTGGAACATGGACCGAATGACTGGAGCTACAGCAGCCATCTTGGACCATGAGTCAACTTTGAGAATGGACACTACATGCCAAGGATGGCAGCACAGAAAGAGCCTACATCCCTAGGGCTCCTACACCAGCTCTGGACTCCCTACTGCTGACCTTTTGTGTGAAAGGAAAAGACAGCATTGAATGCAGTTTCTAAACTCGTGGGGTAATCATGAGAATTCTACACAGTGACCCAGGCAAATGTTTATCATGGTCCATCCTAACCAGGAACTATCACCATTATCCTTACCAGCACTGCTGCACCAACCTGCCTGCTGCTCCCGTCCCCAGGGGTGATATCCACAAGGCCCTTTATCCCTCAGGTCCCTAGTGCTCCTTCCTGCTATGTCCCCTCCTCCCACTGGGTCTAGACACAGGACTCAAAGCTCAGGTTCTCCCCAACCTCTACTTCTCAGAGCATCACAGGAGGTTCAAACCAATTACTTATGCCTAGGACACCCGAGGCTCCCTCTCTGTAAAGATGCTCGAACTAATAGAACTAGCCTGCTGGCCACCCTCCCCTGTAATTGAGCCCCAGTTGCTGAACTCCTGTCATATAAGTCTTGTGTGTCTCCAACTCCCAGTGGCATAGGGGTTAGAAGTTGGGGTTCTGGAGGAATAAAGACCCAGTTTGAACCCCAGCTCTGTCATGTGCTGCCTCTGTGACCATAGACAAGCTACTTAACCTCTCTGTGCCTCAGTTTCCTCATCTGCCAAGTGGGTGTGATAATGGTACCCACCCGTGGAAAGAATGCAGGTTGTGCACCCAATGTCCACTTCTTCCTTGGAGACAAGATACTAATTCAGTGGAGAAATATGTTTACTCTCGGTGACCCAGGAGGAAGGAGAGTGGGTGACAGCCCATTTTACAGACGAGGAAACTGAGAGACAAAGAGGAAAGACATAGGTTCACTGGGCAAGTTAGTGGTTGGGCTGAGACTCAAACCCACATCTCATGCCTTTGGGGCTTCTCTTTAACTCCCATCCTCCCACCCATGCCAGGTCCCGCCGCCCACCTCCAGGTACTTGACGGGGATTTTGTGTTTGGTGGCGTGTGACTGGGCCAGGGGCTTCAGCTCAGCCTCATGATGCCCCTTCTTCTTGAGGATGCCCCCCAGGGCAGTGAGCACGGTGTTGCCATGCTTCTTCAGGTCCTCAGAGGCCTTCATCTCATCGGCGGTCTTCAGGTGCTTGAACTTGTCAAATTTCTCCAGGGTCTCGGGGTGCCCTGTAAAGAGCCTGTGGGCACAAGGTGGGCTGGAGTCAGACGCAGAGGTCTGGAGGTGGCCAGACTGGAGTTCAAGTTCACACTCCTCCCTGCCCCCACTTCCCAGCTGTGTGACCTTGGACCACTCACTTCACCTCTCTGTGCCTCAGCCTCTTCATGGGGCACACGAGGCCCTCCCTGTAGATGCGCCCTCGGGATTAAATGAGATCACAGGTGCTGAGGGCCGCACAGGAAGTGTCAGATAAACACTTGCTATTTTTATTTCTATCATCATCGTCTTCCTCTTCTTCATCATTACGGTGAAAGGTAAGAAGGAAAGACCTCTCTGTGTTGCCCTGCCCTCACCCCCATTTTCACGGTGTTGTTTGGCACATGGATGACTAAATGCCATCCTCGTGGAGCAGAAAGGGGTGGGAGCAAGGGGCCGAAGGACCCGGATTTGTTGAGCACTCGTTACATGCCAGGGCCTTGCTGGGCTCTGCATCTACACTTCCCTTTAGGGTCTTATTATTCCCATTTTACAGAGGAGGGAACAGAGGCTAAGAGATGTGAGGTCCTAGCTCCATACTGCAGGGCCAGGCTGCCCAAGAGCCAGACTGACATCAGGTCTGAATGACTCGGCAAGTAGTCCATGCAGGGGGCCATGTCTGCAGCTTCCTGCCTGGGGATCATCCTTCGGTCACTTAAATACTTCCAGCTTCAGGAGGCTCCCTACTACCTGTGAGAGCCATTCCACCCTAAGCAGCAATCAGGCTCAGAAAGCTCTTACTCATTTTGCTCTGACTTTCTACACCTCCCAATACCTCCCAGGACTGATGGTGAGGGTCCCTGGTGGGAACCACCTGTCCAAAGACCAGGTCCCTGCTCCTGCCAGGGACCCAGTGAGCTGGCCGCAGAGGCACACTGCCCGTTATCCTGAGCCACCACCCATAGCCTTGGACATCAGTCTTTCCTGCTGCAGGAAAGTAGGTGTCAGTTAGTGGAATTCATACCTGCCACTTGGAGTGGGGGTGATTCTCCCCATTTCACTTGTGGGCAAATGGAAGACCACGGAGGTAGGTGACTTGCCCAGGGTACCTGTCTGGCGTGACAGAGCCCAGACCCAAACCCAGGACTGAGTGGGTCTGCACTCACACTTGCTCCCTTGTGTTGCGCCCAGAAACCTTTGCAGGACTGATGCTGCCTGCCTGGCCTTTCCCTCCTCCTGTCTAATGGCTTTGCTTCATGTCTTGAAAGTTTCCTCTTTTATAGTTTCCTGGCTCTGCGACACCCTTAAACCTGACTGTGGACACGCTCCAGTGTGCACAAGTATCTCACAGCACATACCTGCACTCACACACATAGACACACACACACACACACATGCATGTGCCACATAGCATGGACAGGGAGCACTCCCTTCCCTACCAGGAGCACATCCCTCCTGCTTCCCCAGAATGCCCAGGGCTGTCCACAGCCATGCCAATGTCACCACCTCATCTGGGGCCCCGGCCAAATCTTGCACATCACTGACACCTCACCTCTGACACCTTTCACCCAAGGGTCCCAGAGCTCCTGACAATTATTATCTGGTGACAATGATCCTTGAACTCCTGCCTGACAGATGGGAGACCAGCATTCACAAGTGAAGGCCTAAGGTCGGGACACTGGAGAGCAGAAGAAGGCCAAGGACTTGGGACCCAAGGTAGCCAGGGATCTCAGACATTTTGGGAGTCCCCCAGATGTCTGGGAGAAGGAACAGGGCACTGAGAATTATGGAAGCTGAGTTCTGTCCCCTGCTCTGCCTCCAGTGTGCTGTGTGACATTGAAGAAGTCACTCAGCTTCTCTGCGTCATGGCTCAACTATCAAACCAAGAGACTTGGTGTAACTGATTTCTCAGCCTCCAAATTCTAAGCCCCCACTTCACCCTCCACTCCTAGCACCTGTCAACCAGAGAGGGAGCCCAGATTTACCTTAAACAGTGCAGAAAAATTGGGCTAATGTGTGTCCACCAGATCATCCCGGCATCACACGGCTGTCTCCCTCCCATGGCCCCAAGTCCTGCAGCTGGGAGCCCCCAGAGCAGTCACAGAAGGCTGTCCCTGGATGTCCCCGACAGCGGTAACCCAGAAAACGTGCAGATGGGAGGCCCTCACCCTGTGGAGATGGGCGGAGGGCTTTTTCTCCAGTGTTTCAGAAGTGCTCACTCGTCCGGTGTTTTCATCGAAATCCTATCGTCAGCCTGCCTAGTTTATCCCAGGTCTGCAGGCAAGTCAGAGGGAAAGGAGACCATTTGCCAGCTGTCCTCTGAGCTGAGGCCCAAACAGGCAGCTACACAGAAGACGGAGGACTCTCACAGACCTGCACAAATCCTTCTCTTCTCCAGAACCAAAGAATCAGATGAGGATGGGAACTCATCTCTAGTGTGCCAAGACTGTGGGATGATACAGCACAGGGGTCCAGAGCAGGAATGCTGATCCATGCTGTCTGGATTTGAATTCCAGCTGTGGGACTTTGGACAAGTTACTTAACCTCTCTATTAAGTGTGGTGATCATAATAATATCTATCTCACAAGGTTGTTGTGAGGCTTAAATGAGTTAATATATGTGAAACACTTAACACGGGGCTTAGCAATCAGTGTGTACTATATAAATATTTGCTGTCCTCCACATCACCTCTACCACCATTATCACCACCACCATCATCATCTCCATCATCATCATGGTCACCACCACCATCATCACCATCATCTCTATCATCATCACCATCTCCATCACCATCATCATTGTCATTATCACCATCATCATCACCACCATCATCACCATCATCTCCATCATCTCCATCATCATCCTATCCATTACTGTCATCGTCATAATCGTTAGGACTAGGAATTTTTTATTTTGTCTGTAGCTGCCAACGGCTGGCTGAGACTCTTGAGCCATGTTTCCTCCCTGTAACATGAGAAGTATTGGCCACCAGCAGAGGCTTTCAAATTTTTCATGGCTCCAAAATCCTTTGTTCAAATGCAAAAAGAAATAAAGCAGAAAAGATCTGGGGGAAAGCAGGAAAGGCAGGGGGCTGGAGCCCTCTCAGCAGCCTCCTCCCTCCTAAGCCCCTGACTCCTGGAGTCAGAATCTCCAGCTGACCTTCCAGCTATTATGTTCTAGAACGTAATGATCAGTTACTTGCAGTGAAGCCCTCGGTGCTTTATTAACAGACTCAGCTGAACAGAATTTGCCCTCTTTTATTATCAGAGGAGTGGGAGAAATAACCTTTTCAAGCTCAGTCAGAAAGCCCGGGTTCAGCATCGGGAGCAGAACCAAAAGGTCAGCTCTAAAAGGAGCTCTTTGAGCCCTGGGAGCTAGCATCCCCTCCCGTCCCTGCCCCTAGAACCCAAACTAAGAGGGCAGAACCAGCTGGCATGGTTTCTGCATGTCCTGCAGCTTAAGACGTGACAGGGCATCGGGCTCTCTGGGGCCTTCCAGGGGCCAGCAGTCTCCAGCATGATGTCTCACCCCTGGCACCCAGCCCCTGGCGTTCCCTGCGACCCACCCCGGGAAGGGAGGAGATGTTTCCCCCATGACACAATACCCCAAGTCTCCTTCAAGATGCCCAAGTCACTGACTTAGGGCTGGCAGCCACCAGATCACCTTGGAAAGACCCCTGCTCTAGACACTGCTCTCCCACCTGAGACCCTGTCTCCTCTCCAAAAGCAAGGCAGGATTCTGGGCTCAGAGAATGCCAGGCATAAGAGTGGGCAGGGATCTCAGAAACTGTGTCAGGCAATCCCTTTCCTCAACAAATAGGGAAATAGGCCCAGAGAGGAGCAGTGACACGTCCAAGGTCACACAGCAAATGGGGGCCTGGGAGTTGATTCAACTTTGTGGGAGCCTTCTGTCCTTCTATCCAATTAGACAGGACCTGCTGCAGCCCCCAGAGCCAACCGACAGAGACAGAGGAGAAAGACACAAAGAAACACCTCAAGATGCCAGTTAGATTCAACAGAGAACTCGACTGTGCTTTCTCAAGCGTTTCTGGTGAGATTCACTGAGGGCTCGAACTCCAGATGACAGAGCTGGTAGAACCAGGCATTCTCCCCAGACATGGGACCTGGAAATAGGTGAAGCCCAAGGGAGACTGAAAGGGCATCTAAGTGGGAGAGGAAGATCTGCTCTGGCTCCCAAAGAGGGAGAAATTCATCTGTAAATGCAAGTGTGAAGGACAATCCGTTCACTTGTGGCAATCGGGGCCCGTTTTCTCACAGGTGTCCATATACCCCATTAGGTTTTTGACTGGCACTTCCCAGAGCATGAGAAGGGGCTAGGAGCGGAGGAGAGTCCATCGCCCTTTGGGAAGGAAGGCAACAGGGACATGAGATTCTATTTACAAGCCACAAGCCATCCTCTATTTACAAAACTCAGAATTTTACGGGATTCTTTGTTGTTTGTTTGTTTGTTTGTTTAGGAACCTCTTGCTGTAGAAGGCAAGATGTGCTTGGACACATTTCTGAGCCCTCAAATTCAAGACACACTCAACATCAAGTCACTGAAGGGCCTCTGTCTTCTGTTTTCTAATTATAATACTTCAAAGGCCCCAAGTCTAAGCTTCATATATAATAGTTACCAATATCTTCTAGAACTCACTATATACCAGGAATTATTCTGGGTCCCTTACATGCATCATCTTATTTAATTCTTGTTTCCACTCTATAATGTAGACATTATTAGGATTTCCCCCCATTGCATAGGAGAAGAACTTGAGGATCAGAGAGGTTGTGTACCTTCCCAAAGGTCACACAGCTGCTCAGTGGCAGAGCCAGGTCTACAACTACACATCTCATCTTGAAGGTCATGTCTTAGCCTTGCATTTTACAGACTATAACGGACTTGTGACTCTGGGGTCTTCCTTCCCGTCTCAGGTCCTTTATGTCCTCACCCATTAAGTGACATGTCCAGACAAGATCACTCGGATCTCTCTGGTTAATTCTGCCTATAATTCTAGGATTCCTCTTGGTGGGCTCTAAGCATCCAGGAGTTTGCTTGTCAGGCTTCTCCTAGCTGCTGACACAGGTGTGGGATGGATCTCCTTTCCTCTCCTGACTCCAGCTCCTGACTCGTAAAAGCAAAGAGCTAAGTGGGGCTTTCAACAAACATAACTAACGCAGCCAACTGGTCAACCCCAAGGCACACACTCCATCTCGCAGGCAAACACCCCTGATCTTTGGGAAGCAGGTGATGGGGGCAATGGGATCTCTTCCTTTTACCTGATGAGGACCTCCTGCCCGTGGCCTGCGACATCAGCCTCCACCTTCCCCCAGACGTTCAGCACCAGCTGCCATTCCCCGTCGCTGAGCCCCATGGCGCTGCCTGAAGGAGACAAAAAGAGCAAGAGCGGACTGACTGGGTGTCCCGGCTCCGACAGCTGGGGTTTGAGGCCGCCTGGCTCCAAAGGGGTTTTATACCTTCCCAGATGCTTCACAGGGATCACTTGACAGCTGGCTCACTCTCTCTTTCCCCCTCCCCTGCTCCCCCCTCTGTCAAGCAGGGGTCTAATCTTTTCCCTTCTCTAGCCCTCACATGGAAGCTATTTTGGGGCGCGTGCCATTGTGGGGAGGCAGGACAACTCAGGCCACGGGGTGGGGGTGGCTGTGTGTATGGAAAGAGTGGGGAGGAGGTTGGGCCACTGTCTGGACTCTCAGAGGCCAACAGAAAGGGCATGACCAAGGCCAATGCCAACGGCCTGAAACCCAATGCCCCTGCTGTCAGCCATCCCAAGAGAACCTGTCATGTTTCTAAGCCTGGGCAGCAGGCTTCGTGACTGTCCCTGGGACGGTCCTGGCCCTTAGCAGTCCCTTTGCCCACCTTCCGCCCACTTTGCCAGGATGCCCCTCACCCGTCAGAGCGGTGGGAAGGGGTCTAGATGGTTTCTTGCTTTATAGCTGGGTGAACCCGGGCAGATCCATAACTCTCGGAGCCTGAATTTTCCCACTCCACCTAGAAAACTCCTAGCTTCATGGCTTTGCTCAAATACATCCCTCTGAAAAGTTTTGCTTGTACCCCCTCAAGGCGCAATTAATTGCCGGCTCTTTCCATTTATTTGTATATGTTCCTGTTGCACTGCTTACCTCAGTGCGTCATGTTTCTTTGTCTCCACGCCGGCTCTTCCATTAGGACCATAGCAGCCGACACTGACAGAGACCACCGGGTGCCAGGCCCTATTCCAAATCCTCTACGTGTGTAACTCATTTAATCCCCCTACCACCCTACATGATAAACACTGACATCACCTCCATCTAATGGAAGGGACCTTAGGGAAATCTGCCACAGACTGATGGAAGAGCTTGGACTTGAGCCCAAGAAGTCCACACTCCTGAACACCTTACTCCAATTGTCTGCGGGCACAGGCTTTGTTTCATTCATTTGTGTATCTCTTGGACCTTGCACAGTGCCTGGTATCAAGTCTGAACTGAATAAATGTTCATTGGATAAGAAGATGGATGGCCTTGCAAGGAAGGCAAGTGGAGGATGATTGTCCTTTATTTCACATCCTTCTATCATCCATCCATCCATCATCCATCCATCTATCATCCATCCGTCATCCATCTATCATCCATCATCCATCCATCTATCTGTCATCCATCCATCTATCATTCATCTACCGTCCATCATCCATCCATCTGTCCATCATCTATCCACCCACCCATCACCTACCCACCCAACCATCCATCATCCATCACTCATCCATCATCTGTCCATCCACTTGTCCATCATCCCTCCATCCATCCAACACACGGTTACAGAGTACCTACTCTGTGTCAGAAATTGTGCTACTTGCTGAGGACACAGAACCAGATCAAACACAACCTGGTATTCATGAAACAGTCCCCTAGGGGAGATAAGTAAGAGCAATAAAATGACAGTACAGTTCACTTAGTGCTATGATCAAGGTGTGTATATATATATATACTTTTTTTCCTGTGCAAATCCTTTATCAAAGCAACAACCAAAATACAGGATGGTTTGCATGGTTTTTCGGTTTCTTTTGCTACTAGATCAACGTAAATAATAGTCATTTGTTTACATCTTTAAGTTATTTTTTTAAGTGAACATTTATAATTCACAGATCAACAGACTCCTCCTTCCATCTGCATAGAACTTTACAGCTTACACAGTGCCTCCTTGGGCAGGATTATATCTAATCGTCACAATGATGCAAGGCAGCAAGCATTACCCCATTTTACAGCTAGGAACCATGAGACTCAGAAAGGATAAGCAAGCGTCCTGGCTATCCTGGGTCTGTACTGGACATGCCAGTTGTGACTGCCCCACATATATAGCTCATTCGAAAGACAACTGCCCTGCCCGACCCCCCACAGTCATGTCCCTCCCCCAAACCTGTGGCTAGTCACAGCTGATTGGACTGGGGCTAGAATCTAACCTGAGGCAGCCAATGGCAAGGCTCTGTCAAACAGCCAATGTTTATTAGCTACACCAACCAGATTCTCTTCAAAATGTGACGGGGATGTCTGGCAACAATTGGCTAGGTGGGAGGGAATACAGAGTCAAAGAGGGTTTCATGGGTAAGAATTCCAGCACTGGGTAAGACCCCCGTGCAACCGTGGGTCTCCATTCTGATCTCTGTGAAGTCTGCTCCAACTTTCTGAGGACCTATACTGTGTCAGGCCCAGGATGCAAGGGCAAGGCGACTCTGGGGTAGTCTGCCCAGGGCCCGGCCTCTACTCCTGGTCTCTTGCTAGAGGGTGAGCCCAGCAGCGTGGGGAGAGAGGACAGAAGAGAGGACGCGGCAGCCAGCTGACCCCAGCCCGGGCTGTCCACTGGGGCACAACGGTGACATCACTGAATGAATCGGTATCACTGGGTTCTGATTTAAACCATCAGCTCTGGTAATGCTGTTTTTAAACACCCCCCAGCCTGTGTCCTCTTGAGACTCTCGGAGCAATCCTGAGGGGCTGGCGGGGCAGGACTGCCATCGCCCCACCTGGCTGGATGGAAGCAAAGGCTTGGAGAGGTTCAGCACCTGCCTGAGGCTGGTGAGCTGCAGAGCTGGGACTGAAACCTGAATCCACAGCTCTTTTCCTATCTCCAGCCTCCCGAGCTGTCTGGGGACTGCCTGAGTACTTAAAATCTCATCAATTCGTCACCGGTGCAAAAGTGTTTAATATGAAGCTGTCACCCCCTTGGCAGGCACTCCCGTTAACTGGCAAGTTCATGGAAACCCGAGGCTTTGAGGTTGATGAACCTTTTAAGTTTTACCTTTTAAGCTAATAGAAGGGAACCAACATCTGCTTGAACTTACACATCTCTACAACAGAACAGACGGTACCTAGCAGTTGCTATGGCTACCTGGAGTCGCCAACTTTGTTTGGGGGCTATAATTATTCCTGTGACAGCCTTCAAATAGCCGGGGCAGGGAAGCTGGAGATGCACAGAACAGGAAAGCCAGGCTGCCTTTGCATGCAAAACTTCTTTTTTTTAAGATTTGGCCCCTTAATTTTATTCAGGGGGGTTAGGTAATTAGGTTTATTTATCTATTTTAATGGAGGTACTGGCGATTGAACCCAGGACCTTGGGCATGCTAAGCACAAACTCTGCCACTGAGCTATACCTTCCCCCATCACGTGCAAAACTTTCTGCAGCCTTAACACTTGCATCTCATGTACACGCACACAGGCACCCACACACAAACACGGGTGGTTAGTTTGACCCCCAAAGGAACAGAGCTGAATCCCACCAAGTGAGACCTGCCCCCTCCTCTTTCTTCCTTTCATATCACAGAATTCTTTGAATGTGAAATTCTGAGACTTGCAGAATCATCCCTCCAGCCTTCAAATTCTGGAGATTTGAGATCTCAGAATTAAAATGAAAGAGAAATCTAGCCATGGGTTCTTGAAGCTAACAGAGGCCTTCCATGGTATCTTGTCCAAGTTCCCACTAAATGCAGGAATTCTCCCTACAGATCATCATCTAGCACCTGCTTGAATACTCCTAGGAGCAGTGACCTCACTACCTACAACTTTAAAGAGTCTTCTAATCAAACCAAAATATGCCTTCTTGTGGTCCTCACTTCCTTTTTCTGGCTCTGCAGGCTCCTTGGGGATGGAGAGGACCCGCCGAATCTCTCTCACCAGGGAAGATGCAGGCTCACCTAAGACTTTTCTTGTCCAGACTACACACCCCAAGGTCAACAGAACACCCTCTCCTGGCAATGTAAGCTAGGAGCCTGCCTGGTGGAAAAAGATCTGTTCTCCATCTTCAGTGTCTGGTGACTCTCACCTCTTGTCACACATATATACAGAGAGAACTCTCTAGCAAGGGGCTCCCGGCACCTCCCTGCACGGGTTCGAGTCCCCAGGTGACTGTGCACCAGGCCCTCTCTTCCAAAGGCTGCAAGTCCAATCTAGGTGACCTGAGAATTTGACAACCCTTGTGTAGCCAGCAACTCCCCTCAGTGAATCTGGGGGGTTACACTTTAAGACTTCACCCATGGGGGACCAAAGCCGGGAAGAAAGAGCACTTTGGATCTTCAAAGCTTTGGGTCCCCTCAACCCTGACCACCTCCCTTCCTCCTCCTGCTCCTCCTGGGAGCTGCCCTTTGGAGGCCAGCCCGGGCAGTGCCTCCCTCCCCTCTCCCTGCCAGGTCCCCCCAGCTCAGCTTGTTCCTTCCTGGCAGAGTCTGCCTCCTGGACCAGCGCCAGGCCAGACTCCGAGCAGAGCTGAGGCCTGGAGCCTGCAGGACCTGCCGAGGTCATCGACCGGGTGGCAGGACCCCCAGGCTGGCCCCAGACCCGTCTTGGGCCCACCACCCGTTCCTCCCAGCCCCTCAGGGCCTTCATACTGACCACGTCTCCCCTACTGCCCAGTTGTCTTCCTGGAGCCTCCAGCCAAGCAGCGGGCTGGGGGCGGGGAGAGGTGTCTTATAGCAGCTGGGGAGACGGAAAGAGAACTAAAAATACAGTTTATATGGCACGGCTCCTCCTCTGCCTGGAGGCCCAGAGGGGCTTGCTGGAGGGGGGATGGCAGGGACATCAGGATCCCAATATCCCAGGCAACAGGTGTGGCCAGGGACACCAGCCCACCTCCCCCTCCTTTCCCTTCCCAGCCTCTAAGGCTTGGAGTCACTCCTCCAGCTCTGCCTTCCACCTGTCACCTGGATGAGCCTAAACCCATCTCCACATCCCCAAGTCCTTCCTCCTCCAACTGGCCCATCTCCCAGAAACAGCTCCCCCTCCAGGAAACTCCCTCCCACTCCTGCCCTCCTTTCTCAGAAGATGTGCCCTCTCCCCCCTCACCCCTTGGGCTCCATATGGGTGCAGCCTTCTCATCTCTCTCTGCTTTTGGGGTGCATCTCCCTATTTCTACCCTGTGAGCTTCCTCAGAGGTGGGAATACAAAACCGCAGACACAATGCACTCCAGCGGCACTGCCTCTCCCAGCAGCTCTTTTCTATACACATTTTTATAAGCCCCATTCTTCCCACATGGGGAGACTGAGGCAGAGAGGTTAGGTTGCCAAAGGTCACACAGCTAGGAACCTCCAAACATGAAATTGGAAACCAGGGAGTCTGGTTTCAGGGTGTGAGCTTCCCAGTTAGGAACTGGGCTAGCTTTGGATCTTTCCTCTTCCCCCTCTCACCTTTCTGACAGCACCTAGCAGAGGGCTGGGTTAATAAGCTCTCTGAATTGTTTATTTTATCGACCTGAGTCCATCCTGGCTCTGGGCTTCCTAGAGGTGAAGGCAAAGACAGTTGTTGGATGACCACCGGGAGGCCCTGCTGCCATCTAGTGGCGACGAGGAGGAACGCCTCCACCCTGGCTCCCCCGCCTCCCATCGCGTTCCTTTGTTCCCTCCACCAGCCAGCCAGCCGCCAGGACAGGCGTATTTTATCTATCTTTCTATTCATGGCACCGACCAGGGACGGCTATCCAAGTTATTAAAAGATGAATAAGCCATGGTCCCTGCTCTCAAGGACTCAAAGTTGAGTGGAGGAAACATCCCAGGGGGATATGGAACGCAACAGAGATTTGAGCAAAGAGCTATGGGCGGATGGGGAGGCAGCCTGAGGTCTACATGGAGATTTGTTGGCAGAGGTGGCAACAAGGCTGGATCTTAACGCATGATCGGGCTCCTGCAGGGTCTCTTAAGGAGCAGTAACAAACTATGTGTGCAAAATCCCAAGTGATACAGGGGAGGCATGGGGAAAGGGGTGCTCTGGGGGCAGGGTGAGGTCACCTGAGGGTCCTCCTGCACAAGAATCAGGACGGGGGACTTAGAGCTGGCAGTTCTGCTGCACAAACACTCATGCTCACTTGGTGCCAGGCTCTGTTCTGTGCCCCCAGGGAGACCAGTGATCCCTGAGCTTTAGGGGTGATGGGAGGGAGGGTTGAGTAAACACATGATGACAGCACTTTGTGATAAGGACAGTAACAGAGACAGTTCAGCATAGACTTAATGCCTTTGGAATCAGACATCGGGATTTGGCGCTTGGCCCCACCATGTATTACTTTTTGAGCCAAGGAAGGTATAACTTTCCAGGTCTTTTGGTTTTGTATCCATAAAATGGGAACTTTGAAAAGGATGACCTATCTCAAATGTCATGAGAATTAAAAGAGGGAGTGCATGTACAGGACTCAGTGTGGTGCCTGGTTTATAGCAGTGCTCAAGAAGTGTTCTCTGTGATATAAGGTGACAAAGGAGTCATAAAGGAGAAAATAGTTACCTCCACCAAGGAACATGCAGCAGAAGAGGTGATGTCTGAGCATGACTTTGAAGGGTCAGTAGGGGTTTGGTAGGAGCAGAGTAAGGAAAGGATATGCCAGGCACGGGGACCAAAACATTCAAGGACATGGAAGTTGGTGTGTTAGGACTAGGTTTGGTTGTGGGTGACAGAAAATCCAAAATAACGTGGCTTTAACAAGAGAATATTAATTTCTCTTTCATATAGAAATCCAGAGGTAGTGGTCCAGGGCTGGTAGGGCACACAACATGTCAGCTTCAGTCTACTTTAGTGCACTGCCATATTACATACACAGATGGCCTCCACCTCCTGAGGCAAGGTGGCTGCTTTAGTCCAGCCATCATATCATCATTCTAATCAGCAGAAAGGCAAAGAGTTGAAGAAGGTTGTGTCCCCTACCTTTAAGGTCACTTTCCAGAAGTTGTAATCAGTACTTCCTGTCACTGTATGGCCACAATTCTCTGCAGGGAAGGCTGGGAAACACTGTCTATATCCATATGGCTGTATTTCCAGATGAAAATCGAGAGTTCTGTAACATAGAAACGTGGGATTAAAAACTAGAAATTTCTGCCACAGGAATTGTAAAGAGCATATAAAGATGCAGGAAAGTACAAATAATTTTGGCATTTCTGTGGTGAGAAAAGAGAGGGAGAGAGTGATGGAACATGGGTCAGAGAAACACATGGAGGCCAACCCAGAATGGCCTTGGGAGCCACGGGATTTAAGATTTCTCCCTAGGAGAGAGCTGTGGATGGATTTCAAGAACGGGAGGGCCATGGTCTGATTCGCTGTCCTAGAAACACCACACTAGTTGCAATGGGAATGATGTAATGGGGGGGGGGGTGCAACGTGGAGGCAGGAAACATTTCTCCCCAACATTTTATTCTGGAAGTTCTCATACATGCAGTAAAGTTGAAAGAATGTTAGGGTGAACCTCATACGTATACCCACCCCTGAAACTCTACCACTGCTATTTTACTAAACCAGTTTTACCACGGATCTCTCCATCCCTCCATGCCTCCAATCTTTCTTATTTGTGTGCCATTTCAAAGTAAACTGTAGACACCTGTCCATCCACTTCTTCCTAAATACATGTATGAGTGTCATTAACGAGAGTTACACATTTGCATTTTTTCTTTTGACATTAAATTTACGTGGAACGAAATGCGCGCGTCTGAAGGGTACCCTTGCTGAGTTTTGATAAATGCGCACACCTGTGTAACGCGAATCCCTATCAAGATACAGGACATTATCATCACCTCCAAAGTCCCCACATGCCCCTTCCCATCTCAGTCCCCGCCCCCGCCACCTCCAAGAGGCAACCGCTGTCCTGATGATTTCGTTTTCATAAATCACAGATTGGTTTGGGGAAGGGAGACCTTTCAAAGCCTGCTGTGGAGCCCACGTCTGCGCTGAGAAAGAGGCTGGGCAGAGTGGTAACGAGAAGACGGGACAGGCTCTGCAGGGGAGGCTGGGGAGAGGGGGTGAGCTGTGAGCCCAGCGCAGCGCCCCCAGCGGGAGTCGAGTTTCTTCTGGCTGAGCGACCGGGCAGATGGTGGCGCTATTTACTAAGGCGGGCCTGGTACCCGGGAGGAAGGGCTGGATGAGTCTCCCTTGGGACCGTAGCATCTGGAGCGTCGGTGGGACATCTGTCTAGCAGGCGTAGGGATACACATGAATCCCCGAGGTGGCATGGGGGAAGTGGTGTTTCTCCAGCATCTTCACAGGATTCAGGATGCTCACTCACAACACTCTAGGAAAGGCAGAGGGGCCCCTCCTCCGCTGGCCCCTTGCTTTCCCCAAGGCAGCCAAAGGCAGCCAAGGGTGGTGGAGAAGACACAGAGGTGGTTCATTTCGATTGGCAGGACCCTCACTGCAGAGGGGTTGGAGTCAGCGAGGGGTGAGTCCACCCTTACCCCTCCTTCCTTCCTCTCTCCCCAGCATCCTGTGGCTTTCCAAAATTCTTCTCCCCCCCCCCTTTTTTTTTTTTGCAAGGGTAGGTAATCAGATTTACTTATTTTTTTTTTCATGGAGGTACTGGGGATTGAACCCAGGACCTCATGCATGCTAGGCAAGCACTCTACCAGTTGAGCTGTAACCTCCACCACCCCTCCCCCTTTACAATGAACCAAAGCCCATGTCTTAGTTACTGAAATTTCCTACAGGGAGGGGGCCGTCAGGTCTGCTTCCCCCGAGAGGGCAGTGAAAACGCAGAAACAAGGTGAAACCTGGGCCCACAGTCCCAGACTGCAGCTGGGCCCCCCTAGTCTAAAATCAGGCACAATTCACCCCAGGAAAGACTGCTTTCTTTCTTAAAACCCCATTTGGTTGACAGGAGATATTCCTAGCCTTCCCATCCGCGCAACTTGGACTTCTTCCCTGGGGATTAATGCCCTGACAGATTCTACTAAGAGAGGCCTTGCCCCTACACCCACCCCCTCCTGGAGTTGCAGCCCAGAATATCCTGAATTTATCTGGCTATTTGGAGAACTGCCCCAAGGGCTCAGTTTGCTCCATTAGACACAGGGTCAGAACGTGAGCTGCCGGTGTAGAGGAAGGTGCAGAGATTACCCCAGATACCATCCCAGGAGACTGTGTGAAGGAAGAAGAGAAGGACCTCAAGGAACACTCCAACATTTAAAAATTTGGAAGGGGAAGAGGGGGTGGAGAAGTGAGGATGAATATTGAAGACTTCTTATGCATTAGACCTGGGCAAGGTCTGAACCGCAAATATAGATGCATTCGTGTGTCAGAGCATTAGCTGCTGTAACAAACAGCCCCCAAATCTCAGTGGCTTATTAGTTCCTAGTAGTGGCTGCATGGGCTTGGTTCTCACTCACCTCACCAGCCAGTGCAAGCTGGGGAGAGGACTCTGCTCCACACAGCCATTCAGGGACCCAGGCTCCGTCTCCAAGGACTTCAGAGACCTCTGATCCCTCCGGATCCAGCAGACAAACATCAGAAGGGAGAAGTGAGGGGGAGAGGTTTTAGAGGCCACACCTGAGAGCGAGGCACACCGTTTCCGCCCCTATGCCATCAGCCCGATCACAGCCACTTGGAGGAAATGAAACGTCTGTGTGCCTGGGAGAAAGTGAATCGGGCTCGGAGGACACATGGCATAGTGTCTGCCACAGTCACGGCCTGAGATAATAA